TTGGTTTTAATTGAGGACCCCATGTTGCTGATAGCGATGAGGAAGATTGGGTAGAAAAACTACGTAAGGAATAGGACGAAGAAGAAGAGGATGAGGTCTTTGTTATGGTTGATGGTGATGAGGATCCTCTTTGCCCAACGTACTCTTTTCCAAAAGCCTTGCATTTAGAAGGTTGCAGACCTTGGAGACAGGCAGTGATTGTTAAACTTCTGGGGAAGAAAGTTGGAGTTAGATTCTTACTCAATCGTTTACTGAGAATGTGGAATATCTCAAGCACATATGAGTTCATTGGTCTGGAGAATGACTACTTTTTGTTCCGATTTTCAAATAAGAATGATTACTCTCATGTTTTGGAGGATGGTCCTTGGATCATAGCTGATCATTATGTGGTAGTTCAACGGTGGCGTCCATTTTTTAATCCTTATGATGATGAGATCAGAAAGCTGGCAGTTTGGATTCGTATTCCAGGACTTCCTATTGAATTCTATACCTCTCATCATTTGTGGAATATAGGTAGTATTTTTGGTCGCACATTAAAGATTGATAGGAACTCTATCAGGAGTTGTGATTCTGGTGAAGGTGATATTACAGAGAGAGCAAAGTTTGCTAGAATTTGTGTCGACGTTGATATTAGGAAAGGCTTTTTGCCCAAATTCCGTATTGTTGATCGTATCTTCCACGTTGGATATGAGGGTCTCCACTTAGTTTGTTTTGCTTGTGGAAAGTATGGGCATAGAAGGGATCAGTGTTCCCATAGTAATCTTCAACAAGATATTACGGCTTATTCTTCTGAAGTTTCTGACTCGGTGGTGCATAAGCAGCCGGAAAAAGATTCTATTTCGGCGAAGGAGGAACCGTTTGGGAATTGGATGCTGGTGCAGCGTAACCGTCAAGAGCATAGCACAATCAAAGATCAAGGAGCATAGCACAATCAAAGGAGGAATCATTACCATCGGGTAGGAGACAAGTTGGCGTTGTTAATAATGCAGCGTTACGTAATAAGGCAGTTTCCAATTCTCATCCTAATCACAGACAGGTCATTCAATCAGGTTCAAGATTTCAAGCTATTGCTGAGTTGGCTCAAAAGGATAATAATATCTTAATTATTTCTGATTCTCCAGTGATTGATTCAATCAGCATTGAATCTGGTCTGACACAAATTAATCATGGGGAATTAATTGCTCATAATGAAGAACCGTTGGTGAAAAAGGATATTCAAATGGAAACAGTTTCTCCATCTGCTAACCTATCAGCGGGCAAGTCGAGAAAAGAGGTCCAAAGTCAAGGAGTAAAATTCAAAGAGAACCAAAAGAAGAAAGCAACTGCATCATCTGCTAAAGTTCATCAGCTGGTCCAGAATGCTAATATTAGCAAAGGCAGATTAAATGCTTCAAAAGGTGCAGAATCTCAAAAGAATAATTTTAAACTTGATTCTCAGAAGAATATGTCGGAGGATTTCCAAGATAGACAAATTGTCTTGCACCCTTCTTTATCTAAATTCCAGAGGAAGACGTCTCATGTGGTTAATGATCAGCAAGAGACTCTTCCTTCTTCTAGTGGCTTGGATAATGGAGGTAAACATGGAAGACCACCAGATGCTCTTACGTTAATGAGGAATTTTTATCAAACTCACAAGGATTCTATCCCTTTGGATAATTTGGACGTTTTGGGTGCGACTTCGGTCTATACCAATGCTCTTTCTTAGGGCCGGTTTCTGTTCGGATAAATTTAAGATTGTTTTTATGAATATTTTGACCTGGAATTGTAGAGGGGCTGGAAAAGGAGTTTTCCGCCTCTGATTCGGGATCTTTCTCATAGATACAGTATTAAAGTTATGGCTTTGTTAGAAACCAGATTGAGTGGTGTTATGGCGGATAGAGCTATTCGGCGTCTTGGTTTTTCTGGTCACTTTCATCGTGATGCTGTTGGTTTTTCTGGCGGTATTTGGGTGCTTTGGAACACTGATGAAGTTTCAGTGGATGTTCTTTTTCTCATCACCAACTTGTTCATACTAAAATTTGTTGGGTAAAAGAAAATAGAGAGGAGTTCATGACTTTGATTTATGTAAGTTCGCGAAGACAGGAACGTATTCAGCTGTGGGAAATTCTGTCTTCACTGTTTGATCAGTCCATGAGGAATGCGGCTTGGGGGATAGCAGGTGATTTTAACACTTATTTGTATGAGTATGAGAAGCTAGGTGGTAATGGGCATAACTGGAATAGCATGAGGGAATTTCGTGATTGTTTAGATGAATGTAGCTTGTCTGACATTGGCAATCAAGGTCCTATTTTCACTTGGCAAAGAAGAAATCTTCAGGAACGTCTTGATAGGGTTTGCGCTAATGATAATTGGAACTTGGTTTTCCCTAACCGTGTGGCTTTCAACTTGCCTTTCTTTGGCTCAGATCATCGACCAGTGTTATTATGGGAAGGTCAACCTGCTATTTATCCGAGAGGGGAGCGTCCTTTCCGTTTTCTAGCGTCCTGGTTAACAGAGAGCACTTTTCATGAGGTGGTTAATGGATGTTGGTCAAACAATTTCGTGTAAATGGCATAGAAATGTTTATAGATTGCATGATTTGCATAAGGATTAGAGGTATTGATAGATGTCATTTCAGATTAATGCTTCTATGGAGGGATGGCAATAAAGGAAATTACTTGGTTTCAAAGATCAAATTGAATTTGCTCTTTTTTTCTGTTTGGAGATAATTAAAGGATTGCTCTGAAAAGAAAACTGTATGATTTGCATGCAATATAGGATTAAATGGAGGTATCTCAGTGGGATTATGGTGGTGATGACGATGAAAGGTTAGTGTTAGCATCATCCGGTGGTCATAGCCAAAGAGCGTATTAACCAAACTTAGTTACAGTCTTGATAACATTAGCAATGGGACGGCTGACTTTAAGAATTCAGGTGGTGATACATGGTGATCTTCAGCAAATCAAAGGAACCTCTTTGATATTATCCGGATGAAGGAACACACCTTTCACAAAAGAGATGCGACTCATAATTATCCCAGTGAGTGATTGGTTCGCTCATTAAGCCCATCCTGGCATAGGACCAAAAGTGATACTCTTTCTTCCTTACTGTTTGGCATAATACTCATCGTGTCTAAAGCATGCGCTTCAATAACTGGAAAAAAGCCACGAACTGGAAAAGCCGGTTTAGGTAATGGATCACAGATTTTCAAAGAAAGAAACAGCCATTTCCATTAAAACCTGTTGATCACCAATCCAAACTCCCTCCGAGTTTTTCAACATATCTATGTGATTCCTCCTACGTCTGGCAACCGTCACAGAATGAAAGAAACGCGAGTTCCTATCTCCAAGAGCAAACCAATTCAATTTCGATCTTTGAAACCAAGTAATTTCCTCTTGAAGATAAATCTTGTCTAGTTCCCTCCATAGATCCTTTTGCAACATCTCAAGGCTATGACTGTACTGATAACTAAGACATCTATCAATACCTCTAATCCTTGCATGCAAATCATTCTTTCTTTTCAGAGCAATCCTATAAACATTTCTATGCCATTCCGAAGCATTAATCCGAAATGTCTCCATAGCATGCATCCAGTTTACATTGTTTGACCAACATCCATTAACCACCTCATGAAAAGTGCTCTCTGTTAACCAGGACGCTAGAAAACGGAAAGGACGCTCCCCTCTCGGATAAATAGCAGGTTGACCTTCCCATAATAACACTGGTCGATGATCTGAGCCAAAGAAAGGCAAGTTGAAAGCCACACGGTTAGGGAAAACCAAGTTCCAATTATCATTAGCGCAAACCCTATCAAGACGTTCCTGAAGATTTCTTCTTTGCCAAGTGAAAATAGGACCTTGATTGCCAATGTCAGACAAGCTACATTCATCTAAACAATCACGAAATTCCCTCATGCTATTCCAGTTATGCCCATTACCACCTAGCTTCTCATACTCATACAAATAAGTGTTAAAATCACCTGCTATCCCCCAAGCTGCATTCCTCATGGACTGATCAAACAGTGAAGACAGAATTTCCCACAGCTGAATACGTTCCTGTCTTCGCGGACTTGCATAAATAAAAGTCATGAACTCCTCTCTATTTTCTTTTACCCAACAAATTTTAGTATGGACAAGTTGGTGATGAGAAAAAAGAACATCCACTGAAACTTCATCAGTGTTCCAAAGCACCCAAATACCGCCAGAAAAACCAACAGCATCACGATGAAAGTGACCAGAAAAACCAAGACGCCGAATAGCTCTATCCGCCATAACACCACTCAATCTGGTTTCTAACAAAGCCATAACTTTAATACTGTATCTATGAGAAAGATCCCGAATTAGAGGCGGAAAACTCCTTTTCCCAGCCCCTCTACAATTCCAGGTCAAAATATTCATAAAAACAATCTTAAATTTATCCGAACAGAAACCGGCCCTAAGAAAGAGCATTGGTATAGACCGAAGTCGCACCCAAAACGTCCAAATTATCCAAAGGGATAGAATCCTTGTGAGTTTGATAAAAATTCCTCATTAACGTAAGAGCATCTGGTGGTCTTCCATGTTTACCTCCATTATCCAAGCCACTAGAAGAAGGAAGAGTCTCTTGCTGATCATTAACCACATGAGACGTCTTCCTCTGGAATTTAGATAAAGAAGGGTGCAAGACAATTTGTCTATCTTGGAAATCCTCCGACATATTCTTCTGAGAATCAAGTTTAAAATTATTCTTTTGAGATTCTGCACCTTTTGAAGCATTTAATCTGCCTTTGCTAATATTAGCATTCTGGACCAGCTGATGAACTTTAGCAGATGATGCAGTTGCTTTCTTCTTTTGGTTCTCTTTGAATTTTACTCCTTGACTTTGGACCTCTTTTCTCGACTTGCCCGCAGATAGGTTAGCAGATGGAGAAACTGTTTCCATTTGAATATCCTTTTTCACCAACGGTTCTTCATTATGAGCAATTAATTCCCCATGATTAATTCGTGTCAGACCAGATTCAATGCTGATTGAATCAATCACTGGAGAATCAGAAATAATTAAGATATTATTATCCTTTTGAGCCAACTCAGCAATAGCTTGAAATCTTGAACCTGATTGAATGACCTGTCTGTGATTAGGATCAGAATTGGAAACTGCCTTATTACGTAACACTGCATTATTAACAACGCCAACTTGTCTCCTACCCGATGGTAATGATTTCTCCTTTGATTGTGTTATGCTCCTTGATTCCTCCTTTGATTGTGCTATGCTCCTTGAACGACGGTTACGCTGCACCAGCATCCAATTCCCAAACGGTTCCTCCTTCGCCGGAACAGAATCTTTTTCCGACTGCTTATGCACCACCGAGTCAGAAACTTCAGGAGAATAAGCTGTAATATCTTGTTGAAGATTACTATGGGAACACTGATCCCTTCTATGACCATACTTTCCACAAGCAAAACAAACTAAGTGGAGACCCTCATATCCAACGTGGAAGATACGATCAGCAATCCAGAATTTGGACAAAAAGCATTTCCTAAGATCAACTTCTACACAAATTCTAGCAAACTTTGCTCTCTCTGTAATATCACCTTCACCAGAATCACATTTCCTAATAGAGTTCCTATCAATCTTCAATGTGCGACCAAAAATACTCCCTATATTCCACAAATGATGAGAGGTATAGAATTCAATAGGAAGTCCTGGAATACGAATCCAAACTGCCAGCTTTCTTATCTCATCATCATAAGGATTAAAAAATGGACGCCACCGTTGAACTACCACATAATGATCAGCTATGATCCAAGGACCCTCCTCTAAAACATGAGAGTAATCATTCTTATTGGAAAATCGGAACAAAAAGTAGTCATTCTCCAGATCAATGAACTCATATGTGCCTGAGATATTCCACATTCTCAGTAAACGATTGAGTAAGAATCTAACTCCAACTTTCTTCCCCAGAAGTTTCACAATCACTGCCTGTCTCCAACGTCTGCAACCTTCTAAATGCAAGGCTTTTGGAAAAGAGTACGTTGGGCAAAGAGGATCCTCCTCACCATCAACTGTAACAAAGACCTCATCCCCTTCTTCTTCGTCTTCTTCCTTACGTAGTTGTTCTACCCAATCTTCCTCATCGTTATCAGCAGCATGAGGTCCTCCATTAAAACCAATAAGAGAATCTTTATATGACACCAACTTCCTGTTAGATGAATCACCTGACTCCTCCTTCTTTTTTCCCCTGTTGCTAGTCACATTCACCTGGATCTCCTCCTCTGCCATGTGATCATCCATAGGTTGATCTTCCATAGCAGGGCCTTTAGGTTTTTTGTGCTTCGATGGAGAAGATCTTCCTCCTCCGCCGTAGCATCTCTCGCCTCCTTGCCGGTCTCTCTCTCTTTACTCATCTCTCCGTCTTAAAATTAACTTTTGATCACCTCCTCAATTTTATGGTTCTATGATCTCAGTAGTCAATTTATGTCAATTATCTACAATTTGATTTTCGATTTTAAGTTAGAAATGTACAGTGTTTTTTTTTTTGCTTTGAAAGAGAACTCGCTACTTTGCATCATTTTACTAAAAAAACGCAAATTAATTGAATAATTGAAAAAATCATTACGTCTCTTTACAGTTACCTGTTTATGTATGTGTTATTCTTCATGCATATATTAAGGGCAAAAAAATTAAAATATTACTATTTTAATAATAATTACGGATAGGTGAAAGTTTGGATACTATTTTCAAATATGTAGCAATCATTCATGCCCAAAAAGGGCGGGACAATTCACGCCCAAGTTAGGCGTGAATAATTTACGCCCAAAATAGGCGTGACAATTCATGCCTAGGCCAGGCGTGAATTCCTTGGCCTATAAAACCCCCCAAATTTTCACTTTTCCATCTCACACCTTCTTTCTAAAGTTGGTCTGACTTCTCTCTAGATTATTTGTGGAGCATTTTGTGCGGCAAAGCCCTGTCGAACAAGTAAGTCTGCATATCTGCTTTATCAATTTTTTAAATATAATATTATACATGTTATAATAGTAATGACGGGGTATGAGTGTATTATTTTCAAAATCACCTTTTTCTTTTGACCATTTAAGCATCCGTATACATTAAACTTTCGAAGTCAGTTTTTTTTTTCTTCACCCAAAAACAAAAATTGCCTTTTCGAACAATGATTTAGGTTTTTTAAGGGGAGGCTAAGGATGGATGACGAGTCCAATTTTTTGGCCCGAAATATAGTTTGAGGTTTCAAACGGTTGCATCCTCTTTTAGGTATTTGGGCCTATTCACCTTCAGCTTTGACCAAAAAAACAAAACCGAAAAACTTCATAATCAATTACTTTGTAAACAGGTCGATCGAAGCCCATAAAAATAAATAACAAAAACAAGCTACTTCACCAGATACTTTTGGCACAGATGTTGAGGAATTTGGGCTCTGTAATCAAAGATTTTGAATTCGAGCCCTAGAAATAAATAAAAAATTGAAAGAGTTGTTCCCTTTAATAGAGTTTGATAAATGTTCCAAGTAGATATAATCCGAAGGATGAACAGGGAAATTAAAAAAAAAACTTCTAAATTGAACTAAAATAAACGTTAATAAATGAAAACAAACTATTGAATTGTTTGTATTTGTTTCAGGCTAATTTTTTTATTTTTTTTATGTTTTAGGCCTAATTTCAATTTAGTATATATGCCAAGAGATTTAATATTCATTTCTATATTTAAAATCACACAAAAGATATATTTTTATAAATAATAAATATTCTTTCAAATTTTATCTTATATTCAGTCTAAAGAGTAACAAAAGATTATCATTTCTTTAAACAAAAAAAAAGATTATCATTTCATGTTTTTTTTAAGCTCATGCTTGTTTAATTATGATAGAAATTCAGTTTAAAAAACTTCCAAACAAGAAATATTTAGACCCTTCGTTGACTATTATGGATTTTATCAGTTGAGTGTCAATTAACAATTCAAGAGGTCATAACTTTATCAGATAAGAAATCTTTAGACCCTTTGTACATATTTTAATTAGAAAATTTTGAAAAGCTTATGATCAAATATTTAAAAGGGGACCTTTGGCAAAAAATAACTTTAGTGTGAAAAAAATCCATTTAAACGTACCTATATCTTATAAATTATAAAAAATATAATTATATTACATTTATATAAGTTACATTCACATTCTGAAATATTGGTCTTATTTATGTTTAATGACTCTAATTTACAAGATATATGTGTCATTATATGCAAAATAGATAAATGATTAAGATTTGATTAAATTGCCCTCCAAAAAAAGGATTTGATTTAATTTTTTCTTAAATCGGTATAAGTTGATTATGTCCCATAAAAAATATATTTAAAATTTAATAATGATCCTTACCACAAAAAAAAAATTAATAATGATTTGTTTTTAGAGTAAATACTTTTTTTTGTCCCTGGCAATTTTCACGAGGCATATTGTAAGAGCCCCAAACCCTGTAGCATGATATTGTCCGCTTTGCCCCGCGCACAAGCACCGTCGAGCTCACAGTTTTGTTTCTTGGGACACCCCACAAAAGGCCTCACACTAGAAGAGGTATCCACACCCCTATAAGGCATGCTTCGTTCCCCTCTCCAACCGATGTGGGACATTACATCCTCCCTCACTGGGAATACAGCGTCCCCGCTGTACACACCGGTCCAGGGCCAGGCTCTGATACCAAATGTAACAGCCTCAAACCCTGTAGCATGATATTGTCCATTTTGCCCCGCGCACAAGCACCGTCGAGCTCACGGTTTTGTTTCTTGGGACACCCCACAAAAGGCCTCACACTAGAAGAGGTATCCACACCCTTATAAGGCATGCTTTGTTCTCCTCTCCAACCGATGTGGGACACTACACATATTTTAGTCCCGAACAATAAAAAAAGCTCATTTTAGTTCCTAATATTTGAAAAAAAGGGCCACGTTCGTCCTTCCGTTAGTTGGCATCTGACGGTTCAACTAACGAAGCACACGTGGACCGTTACTTTGCTGAGTCACCGTTAAGTATGCCAGCGTGGAAGTAATACGACGCCGTTTTGAACATGTCTTATGTCTTGTTGGAGTTTTGGAAAGTTGAAGGTCTTATTTGGTCCCTGACAAATTTATCGAGGTCCTATTTGGTCCTTAACACTAAAAAACCATCATTGCAGCAAACCTTTCAAACCACCATTACAGCAAACCTTTCAATCCATCTTGAGTTTCCACCCTAGAGACATCAAATGAAGCAATTTTAACAGATAAAGAAAACACAAAACAAATGAACATATAACAAATGTGACTATAAAACCAACAACGTAAATGCAAGGAAAAACATTCAGCTTCTTATACTGAATAAAGGAAATCTTAAATTTGATTGGGAATGAAGGATGAAACATTTAGTTAAGAAAAGTGCACGAAACGAGAAAACCAAAAAATATCCATAAAAGGGGAAAGAAGATATGGTCAGTGAAGAAAAACGCCTTAGGTGAACCAACATTGACCAGCAACATGAGTTCTTTAGTAAAAGAAAATAACACAAACCTATATTTGAATGCCTGAACATAATATTCCATAAGCACAGACCCTCAAATATATATGATGCAAGATCAACATCCTATGTTCTTTGGCAGGGGAGGCTATGGATGTACTTTCCTGTAGTGTGAGTGCAAAATATTCTGGAAATGTCATAATTAAACTCTTAATCAATAACAATAAACGATTCCACACTTATAATACACACATCCAGTCTGTTTGTGCCCTTCAAGTGGATAATATGCATGTGTATGGATACATGCACATAGGCATACTTAGCTATGCACAGGAATAATTGCTCATATGAACTGCACACTTAGTACTATTTACATGTCAATGAACTTCATCACCGAAAACAGTTGGGAAATTTAAGTTTTCAAGCACTTAAGAATTTTGAGAGAAAAATAATGAAAACAATAACAAATGCATATTTAAAATGTACCCAACAGAAAATATAAGTTAAAAACTCAGATCTGTACCAGTAAAGTGATGATGGCTTGTCCACTCTCCAATTAATGGAACGCGTCCCTTTTCGAAAACTATTGAATGCAATTGGAATGTCCTCAACAAGGGGCAAGTCATAAAGCTCCTTGACTACTTTTACATCAGCACTCCACAACTCTACCTTCTTTGAAAATCTTCCACAAGGTACAATAAAAGAGTATGGCCTGTGAATTGAATAAATCAAAATGTACTAATGATATGGGGAAGGGTCCATAGAAGTATAAACAACTGGTGGACCAATATCCTTTGTAGTACAATCCAAAGAAGCTAAAACAAGTTGCGAGGTTGCATAGTAGTCAAACAAATCTTCATCATATTCATCCTTCAGTAAATCCTGAAATGTTCTTACTTGAATAATGTTTTTCTCCTCATTAGACTGAATTTTTGGGCCACTGGGAACCAAAGGTTTATTTGGTGGAGCTCCACGGGATGAAGGAATGGTGCAAACTAACAATGAAGAGTTACCTACCCAAACATAATTATCAAAAACTGCATTCAAATGTACATTAGGTGACTGAAATAAAGGTCTAGCTTTCCCTGTTTCCACATCCGCAATCCATACTCTGAATTTACTACTATCATTGTCCTCCTCATTCACACGAATGCTAAAGGATAAATGGCATCCATCAGGAGACCAAGTTACAAAATTTATCTTCGCACCATCAGGAAAACCATGCACCTCCGCCTATGGGCCCAATGTACCATCAGGAAGAATTTGATGGATCCCTACACCGGTGTAGAATGACATATGACTCCTAGAATTGCAGTTTCCATCAATACGTACACCAGCTTTACAAGAATTTAAGATTTCCTTTATTCAGTATAAGAAGCTGAATGTTTTTCCTTGCATTTACGTTGTTGACTATACTTCCTTGCATTTACGTTGTTGGTTTTTTAGTCACATTTGTTATATGTTCATTTGTTTTGTGTTTTCTTTATCTGTTAAAATTGCTTCATTTGATGTCTCTAGGGTGGAAACTCAAGATGGATTGAACGGTTTGCTGCAATGGTGGTTTGAAAGGTTTGCTCCAATGGTGGTTTTTTAGTATTAAGGACCAAATAGGATCTCGATAAATTTGTCAGGGACCAAATAAGACCTTCAGCTTTCCAAAACTCCAACAAGACATAAGACATGTTCAAAACGACGTCGTATTACTTCCACGCTGGCATACTTAACGGTGACTCAGCAAAGTAACGGTTCACGTGTGCTCCGTTAGTTGGGCCGTCAGATGCCAACTAACGGAAGGACGAACTGGCCCTTTTTTTCAAATATTAGAGACTAAAATGAGCCTTTTTTTATTGTTCGGGACTAAAATGTGCCTCGTGAAAATTGCCAGGGACGAAGAAAGGTATTTACTCGTTTTTATTTGAATTTTTTTGCTTTAATTTAAAACGTTGAAAATAGAAAAGTTAAAAGAAATTTATAAAGGGAAAAATGTTTGTCATTTTAAATGACATAAAGTTATGTCATTTTAAGAGAGAGATAGACACAAGAATTTTTTTATTTAAAATTTAAATTAATAAAAATTACTCATTTTCTCTCTCCCATAATTTTCATTTCTTGTGTTTATCTCTCTCTTAAAATGATATAACTTATGTCATTTAAAATGACAAACACCAAACCCATTTATAAAAAGAGAGAAATGAAAAACCAATAAAAAAAATAAAATGAAGTAACTTAAAATAATTTAAAAAATGAAAATGAAAAATACTATTTAATAGTTCTAGTAGAACAATTTTTATTTTTTATATAAAATCTATATAAATTAAAAAATAACACATTATTTTACCAAAAGAAAGTAAGCCATCCTTAATTAAACATGCTATTTTAATAAGTAAGGTTAAAATATTTGTGGATTTTGTTGACACGAAGGGGGTGTTTGTTTCAGGTTTTTGAAGAGGATTACCGGTAATCCTTTTTTGGTAAATGTAATTACCACGTTTGGTAGAAGGAATAAATTACGATTCCCAGATATCCAAGGATTACCGGTAATTTGATTTATAAAGAAAAGTCACTATTCAGATTACCAAAAATAATATGGTAATTCGGAATACCAATCAGAATACCAAGTAAAGGGAAAGCACAATAATAAATTTTAAGACAAAAATACCCCAATACACATAAAAATCTAGACCCAATCTATCAATTACAAAAATAAAAATAGTTTGGGTTTATTTTTGTAAAATAACCTCATATTCCAAGTCATATTTCGTTCTAAACCAAATATGGAATCAGTAATTTTTACCCAATATTCCCGGTAATATTTTGGCGAACCAAACACCTCTTTCGTAAGATTCCAGGTAAACTCAATTTCTACTGAATTCTCATTAATCATGATTTCCGGTCACCAAAAAATTTCTCTTGTACCAAACACACCCCGAAGAGAAACTGAAAGGCAAAGAAAAGATACCAATCCAAAAAGAACAGAAAAGACGACACCGGAAAAAGGCTCCTAACCGACCCGGTTAAATAGCAAAAACGATATGATATTAAATTTTAATCTATTGAGATTTAGAATGTTTTATTTATTTTCCCGTAAATTAAAAATTAAAAAAGAAGATGAAGAAGAAGTAGAGCTCGCCGAGTTTAAAAAAAACAAAAACAAAAGATAATAGAGCAGCCTCGGAGACTCTAGGAAATTGAATTCATTCTGAAACGCCCCGTTTACAATTTCAAGAGCGAAAGAATTCTGATTGAACGGGGTGTTTTTGATCTCAGAACAATTCAAATTTCATCAACATAATTATAAAAACAAGGTTAGGTTAGATCTTCGATTTGGATCGTTGATCTTTGGGAACAATCATCAATTTTAGGGATTGAGGAATGGACAGCATAATGAGCAAGCTACGCAATCTGGATGCGTACCCTAAAATCAACGAGGACTTCTACAGCCGCACGCTCTCCGGTGGCGTAATCACCCTCGCTTCCTCCATTCTCATGCTCTTGCTCTTCATCTCCGAGCTTCGTACGCCTCATTTTCGTTTCGTCGTTTTGCTTTATTGTTTTTTGCGTTTTGATATTCTCCTGTTTCAACTCATTTTTGTGTTGTGTTTGACGCTGCCTTCAGGATTGTATCTCCATGCCGCAACGGAGACCAAGCTTGTTGTAGATACTTCTAGAGGAGAAACGTTGCGTATCAATGTAATGTCCTTTCCTTGGAGTTCCTTTCCCTTGAACATTAACTCTTCAATTTATGTATATATATTTTTTTTTCAAATAATTGTTGTAATTTTTGTGTTACGTCATTTGCGTATCGTAATGTGCTTCGGTTGGTTTGCTATATAAATTTATTGATCCTTGTGCTTTTGATGTTGAAAGTGCAGTTTGATGTTACATTTCCTGCACTAGCATGTTCCATACTCAGTCTTGATGCCATGGACATCAGCGGAGAGCAGCACCTAGATGTAGTATGTATCATATATATATATATAAACTCTTATTTTCAATTACGCGCTTGAGCACCTCGAAATTAGTCGTTTTGGTGCAGTAATATATAATATGTAATCAAGTTATACTTTATCTTTGTAATATTTTGAATGCATATTCACCTTCGTCCTTTTGATCTCTTGCCTGTTCCCTAGTTTCTAACATTGTTATTTGTCTTTTGGTGTAACTCTCAGAAACATGATATAATCAAGAAAAGATTAGACTCTCATGGCAATGTGATAGAAACAAGGCAAGACGGAATTGGTGCTCCCAAGGTTTGTTTCAGCAAAAGTATTTTTGTAATTCGTTGTGTTCTTATATTGGATTGTTGCTTACTGCTGTTATTTGACTCAGGTTCTTTTCTTTTTAATTTCTTTTTCTCATGTAGGAAACATCTTATCCCAACTAGTGTGGGATAAAGGTGATGTTGATGTTGATATAGGAAACTTTTTATTAAGCTTTAGCAAGTTTGACTGGTTGAACATGTTAACGTGAAATTTTCTCTTTAGAAAATGAGCTTGTACCACTGGTTAGTTATCGTTTACATTTAAGATGCAATTCTTTTTCAGTTTTTCCCTTTTTGAGATTAAACTGGCGATGCTTTATCTAGAATTTCTTCTTAAACTATAGTTTTAAGAAATTACATCTTCCTTGCTTATGTCGTTTGTAGACCATTTTCTTTAAATAACTGTTTATTTTCTCAGATTGAAAAGCCCTTGCAAAGACATGGAGGCAGGCTTGAGCACAATGAGACTTATTGTGGTTCGTGTTATGGTGCTGAAGGGGTATGCCTGGTTTAAAATTACGCTTAATAAGGATGTCCTAATTTAATGCCTTATTTATGTATTGATTACTAGAGAGAAGAGAAGAGAGTAGAGACTGTTCTCACTACATTGCATACTAAAAAATCTGGCATTTGTTTCGCTATTGTTTGCTCCCAAAAATTTAAAGGACCATATATCTGTTCTGATGAGCAGTTTTCAACTAGGCAGCATTAACAGTCAAGTCCCTGCAGTTTTCTTCCTTTCATCTAACATCTTAGTTTTTCCTTTTTGGGTTTCATAATGATGGATTTATGTGCCTTTAATTACAATGTTCCCAGCATCACAAGTTTGATGCTTACCTGAATCTTGCACATGTTTGCGTATGCAGTCAGATGAGGACTGTTGTAATAACTGCGAGGAAGTTCGTGAAGCATATCAAAAGAAAGGTTGGGGACTTTCAAACCCAGATTTAATTGATCAGGTCTGTCCATATGACATCTTGACGTTTAATTCGATATTATTCCTGAGCTTATCAAACACGATTTTGTTGACCCTAACATGTTAAATTTTCCACTGCAAGCAAACTTCATACTTTTATATATGTTTATAGAACTCCCAAAGTTCACAATTTTTTGGCCACACATATATTACAGAACAGGTTATTTATCTGTAAATAGTGAAGTCTGTATTTGTGATCCATTTGATCATATTGGTTTGGTTTACTACTCAATTTTCAATATAGAAGAAAATAGTTTTCCTGACTCATTATTGTGAAATGTGAAATAAACTGTTATCCATAAACTCATTATTTTGTAAAGCAGTATTGCTGATGAACAACCAATTCTAGTTTCATCCTTTTGCTATTAATGAATGATGAGTTGGTTGCCACACCTAATATCCTGTGACATTTGCGTGGAACTGTGGATTATTATTTTGACACAAAGTTACACATGCAATTTCACATTATGGTGTGGAATATTTTTGGATATACAACTGCATTTAGAACTGTTCAATTATATATTTCTAGGCTTCTAGCTGTTGTCCTATCCAAGGAGAACTAGATTACATTAATCCAACCATGAATTGATTATTAAACCAACTAGAAGAGCTCACTATGCTTCAATAGCCAATTCAGCGTTGCAGTAAAAAGTTTGGCTTACGGCTTGATCATGTCACTAGTAAATTGAAGGATGGAGTTTGTTTTCCTTCGTGATTTCACCTTCAATTTGTGTATGCATGGCTATATCTACAAGTTTATTCAAATATAACTGGCTATATATGCTATATAGTTTTCCCCCCGAATATTTAGCATGAATATCTTGTCATATTTCACTTAGCTGTATCTTGTTACCTTCAACAATGAGTGGGCTTATCCCCTTTCTCATCTATTTAAATAACTCTTGCTTTTCAAAAGGAATCTTTTAATGTAAGATATGACCTGTCACTTTGTATTCACTTTGGTGAATTTTAATTGCAATTTTTACTGCTAATAATTTATAGCTTTTATGAAATATCAATAGAAAGGTAGTAATATAATACTCTATTATTTTTCCCAAGAAATATCTTTTATCATTCTTCGTATTTCAAGCCACTAACTTGTCTATAACATGTAATACAGTTAAGTCACCACATCAACAGATTAACTTTCGGTGAGTATTTCCCTGGTGTTGTGAATCCTCTTGACCGGTGAGCTCCTTATACTCTCTTAGCCTCAGATGAACAATTTATCAAACTTGAATATTTTATTTAGATACGTTTTGACACTTTCTTCATTATCAGTGTGCATTGGACACAAGAAACACCAAGTGGGATGTATCAGTATTTTATTAAGGTTAGTATTCCAGATCTCTGCGTACTTGTGTATTACCAATACTAAGTTTTATTATGCATAGA